ATAACATGTATATTACACTATATAATTGTAAGTAGCACATCAAATGTATTGAGTCTTTCTCTGTGTTTCCTGCAGGGTGTGTCTCATAAGTTCATCATCGCGGTGCTGATGGAGTACATCCGCTCTCTGAACCAGTTCCAGATCACCGTGCAGGTTAACAGGCAGAGACACCTCACTGAAAAATGTGTTGAAGGGGAATAAGATGAAATCTTTAGTCTGATTCTACTCTGTGTGTTTCAGCATTACCTGTACGAGCTGGTGATAAAGACGCTGGTGCAGCACAACCTCTTCTACATGCTGCACCAGTTCCTGCAGTACCACGTGCTCAGCGACTCCAAGCCTCTGGTCAGCTACACTTACCGTCATATGCACCATTTAGATATACACAAACATAATTTACACAGTGCTGGAACGCACCCTTTGTGTTCACGTAGATAATGTTAAAATGTAGCCCAATGTTCTGAGTCCTCAAGTGAAGGTGGTTTGTTGTATAACTAATTTGAACCTTTTTTGAGTTTCTTCTTGCAAATTAAGGATTTAATAAATTCCAAACACGATTCACATTTGTAACTAGCTAGAGGAGTTGTAATTCTTTAGAAATACAATAACACACAGTTGTACATAACAAATCAATTAATGTGCAAATCCTGTTTTCCTTATTTTTTACTTTAATGTGTCCAGGCGTGTTTACTCCTGTCTCTGGAGAGCACGTACCCTCCGGCCCACCAGCTGTCTCTGGACATGTTGAAGGTAAAAACACACAGATTCTTTAAACAGGGAAAAACTTTATTTAAATGTCTTTTATTTACATTTTTGTTGTGTGTTTACAGCGTCTGTCCACGGCCAACGATGAGATCGTGGAGGTTCTGCTGTCCAAGCAGCAGGTTCTGGGCGCGCTCAGATTCATCCGCAGCGTCGGTACGTTTACATTTGATCTATCCAACAGGATGTAATCTAGGAAAGCCTATTACTCTTTATGTCACATTTTAAAAGAATTCATCAGAACAGTAGTTTTAATAAAAAAATCACATCACATTGTCAATTATTAAAAACATTAGCTTTTGGGGCAGTATTAAAACATTCTTAATGCACTTCTTTGGAATTTTGTACCTGAGAATACCGGAAATGTATTTAAAATCTACAAACAAAGAGTGTAAACTTTAAATTAAAGTCGAGGATGGTCCAAGTTCACAGCTAGTCAGGTATAACTTCAATCACTGCCAAAATAATAATAATAATGAATAAAATCAAGTTTAGGAAATAATAGCTGTCTAAAACTGCCCATTTATGACCTCAAATAAAGTTTCCCCCATGTGATAAAAGGACAGTTTGACAGTCACAATACTAGCAGAAATTAGTTTTATCCATCTATTTTGTTTACTGTTTCCAGGCGCCCATGACAACGTGTCCTCCCGAAAGTTCCTGGACGCTGCGCGGCAGACGGAGGATCAGATGTTGTTCTACACCGTGTTCAGATCCTTCCAGCAGAGGAACCAGAGGCTGAGAGGGAACCCCGCGTTCAACCTCGGTGAGGAAACACACACTTTAGTGATATTATCTAAAGTCATATTCCTCTCTTTATGAGTACATTTTAATGTATTTTGGTATATACTACACATTTATGAGATAATTATTAACGTTCCGAGCTTTTAAACGTATGTATTAATAAGTACAATCTGATACAAGTGAAAGTTCTACTTTTTTAATGCAAGACTTTTACTTCTGGCTTAAGTCAAATATAATAGAAGAAATGAACGAAGAAATGTGATTAAATTATTGAAAAATGAATCTCCTAATGCAACATCTCTAGACATCTTCTTATTTTAAGAAGTTGTTTTTGTATTAACTCTGCAAAATTGGTCTAAATTCTGAAAGTAGCTAAAGCTATGAAAACAGATACTCTAGCAAAGTACAAGTACCTCCAATATGTACTATCCCACCCCATAACTCATACCTGTCCCCCCCTCCCCCTGCAGGAGAGCACTGTGAGGAGCACGTGGTTCACTTCAAGCAGCTGTTTGGGGATCAGGCTCTGATGAAGGCCTCCACTGTCTGAGAACCACAAACTGAAACACAGACTGTAAACACTCATGGATGTCAGCTGACAGGAAGTAACACTGGGAACCGGTCCACATGTTAACGCACAAACTTCCTGGTTATACTGTGACAGTGAAATCCTTTTCCAAAGTTGTGCGATGGCTCATCAGTAAAGCCCTACTGAGTCAAATCAAATGTCCCTGGTATGTAAAAAAGTAATCAAACAATTAATGCATTTACGACTACATACACTTAACATAACTTAATGTTTTAAAATGCATTCTTAAAGTACTGCATCTTTATTCTGAGATTCCTCTCGTGCCTGCAGAAGCTCTGATATGAACTGCTGGTATATGCTATTACTGAGCTGCTTTCTGCTGTACACAGTCACATGATCCTGCACAGGTGAGCAGAGACAACTAAATATTATAATTATGTAAACAAGGAGATGCATAACAAGTTCCTATAGACTTCATGAAATGGAGTATAAAAACCTTTGGAAACATACTTACCCTTTGCAGCTCAGGTGACGTGTGGGCCCAATGACATATTGTTTGAGTACCTGTATGAATGTTTTATATGATAAAGAATCTATTATTGTGTTATTATTTCTCATTTAAAAATCAAACGGCACTGGGCTGCATGAAGTAACGATGGAAATATGTTTAAATGCTCTGTTAAATACTAGTAAAAAACATAGATATATAGAATATGTACAGCTAATAAAAGGTTAAATCTAGAGCTGTGTGAACGAGTGTTGTTTCTTGTGATGCATTCACATCCTAGTGTGATTATAGTATGTCGAAAAAATAAAAACACCAACAGTATTTTGTCATTTTTTTTTGCATTTTTTCGACATGCTATACTGGTATTTTATGTGGGAATAAGGCACGTTATAGTGTGTAGAATCCAGGCATACAGGTATGGCGTTAAAAATGACAGAAAAGTCATAGTAAAGCATGTCGAAACAATGCAAAAGAGTCATAGTAGTTTAACAAATATTTGTGAAAATAACTTGACAATGTAGTATGGCGAAATTATTAGAAATATGTTATAGTAGAGTATGCCGAATTAAAGATATAGCTATAGTAGGCTATGTCAACAACAAAAAAGTAGAATAAAAGAATCTCAAAATATAGTGAAAATAAGTCATATTATACTATGTAGAAGCTGTACTAGTATATATTAGTGATGGGAATTCCGGCTCTTCTTGGTGAGCCGGATCATTTGGCTCGGCTCACCAAGAAGAGCCGGCTCTTTCGGCTCCCAAACGGCTCTTCAGTTTACCACATATTATACCTTTTAATTAAATCAAATGTAGCCCTATTTTGACTAATGATTTATATGTGTACACATATATCACTTAAATTATTCAATACATCCTTTGTACTGAAGTATTCTAAAGTAAAAATTACATGATTAATATAAATGATTTGCTGTGGCCAATTGTTTTCATTGCATTTACAGACCCGTGTAACTCTCTGATACCACCCAATGAATGCATTGACTTGCTTGTAGAACCACGCTACACAAAACAGATAGCAACACCTATAAAAACCATTTTAAAAAAGGGGCTACTGTATCGACCTATATAAATTATATAAATATAGTTTTTTTTTCAAAATACCAAATAGATCCTGCATTTTAGCCATGCCTCATTTCGCTCTATTTCCTCTTTCCAGCGCTGTTTTTGCAGCGGGCTGATTCTGTGAGCTGCAGCTAACCACGCCCCCCTGCAGGAGAGGGGAGCGTGCTTTAGATCAGCTGCTGGGCTGTCAGAAGAGGGGGAGCAAAAGAGATCTCCGTCCTCCGTGTTTTGTTCTTATAGAAGTAAGAAGAGAAGTAATGGGGCAGAAACCCTCCTTTTTACGCAGCGGTCCAGACATAGACATCAAACGGCGACACATATTCAGTGTGCAGTTACTTTGGCATTAGGGCAGGGATATCTAGATACTTTCCAAGGTTTGACATAATGAATTGTGCTACTTTTAAAGCAAGCAACGATGTTTTCAAATCTGTAATCAAAAAGCTCCTCAAAAACACTATCGAAGCAGTTCCTGCCGTTGCTACGTTAGTTCAAACAGTAACAACGGACTATTTTTCTTGGCGGATGCATGTCCATTTAAATCAATACATAAAACTATTTTTTAAATCAATAAAATCATTTTCTAAATCCATAAAAGCATTTCAATTAATATTGGGAGTCATGTCGTTACTTTGTTGAGAATGTGGCCATGTAATAAGCGGGATAATGTGCACATTGCACAATGTGGCTTCATGCCGATCTAAATCCCTCCGCAAAAAAAAACGGCTCGTTCGCGGGCGAGAGCCGGTGTTGTGTCACATTATGCCTCCCCGTCATGAAATGCCCCCCTTGTCACGGGAACGCGCATTTCTAAATGACACGTTTACACCTTAAAACGATGTTTAAAACGAAAAGTAAACGTTCAGGGTTTTTATTAATGGTAATTTTCAGACTGTGAGTTGTTTAGTGGTAGCTCATAGTCTTGATTCTTCTGGTTTAACTTTTCGCTCCGTATTTGAGGTGTCGAAATTCATTCGTCACTTCCTTTTCAGTTTATCTTTTTTTTTTATCATTATTGTTACGTCCTGTCTGTATAAACGTGCTTTAAAATGTATTGTTTAATTTTACATAGTTGTCATCTAATAATCAAAATATATGTTTACAAATGTTACATAGTCTTTGTCAGCATATTATTAGGTCTATATACGCTATGCGTACAAAATAAAAGTGTGACATTCATGAAACTTGCTCCATTTTTCCATTTATACCCTGAAAAATGCTTGAGGGTGGGATTCATAGAAACCTCTTTTGGGGGGGGGGGGGGCATTTTATGACAGGCCTGTCCATCACAATATGCCCCCCCTTGCTATCTTACAAAATAAAAGTGTCACATTCATGAAACTTGCTCCATTTATTGGTACCAGTCCTAGAACCATACCCTGAAAAATGCTTGACGGTGGGATTCATAGAAACATCTTTTGGGGTGGGGTACATTTTATGACAGGCCAAACAATAGTTAATTGCATTGGTTGAAATGACAGTGGACAGTTAATGATGGTTCCTTCGGGGCATCATGTGCATCCAGGGCACAAGTATGGTTGAGCCACTGGAGGCCTTTGTACACATTGGTGGTGGTACCACCGCTGACAAATGTCACAGCAAATCTGAGAAAACAATAAATACTTGTTATGTAAGGTATGCATTATTTTTATGATAATAGCATATCTCTAATGTATTTCCCACTAACATTCTAACCATTCCTTCAATAATCGAAATCTTTCAAAAACATAAATGTTGTGTTATGAGAAACAAAGAAATGTTCAACAAAAATGTATGGAAAAACAAGCAAAACATTAATCCTTTATCAGTGAATTCTGAAGATGCCAAATATAGTAGCAATTATCAATGCAAATGTTATGTTGATAAAGTCTGGAAACATATTTCTGCTAATTTTCTTTATTTGTAATGTGCAATAGGAAATTACCCAATGTTGTTCATCCTGCTCCTCCACCCCGCAGTAAAAGCAAAGCCTGCTTAGATCATCTGTTGAGACAACAAGTAATCAATATCTTCAGATCAACTACATTGCAGATTTGGGGTCAAGGTGACCCATTCCAATTTTTGACTAAAAGGTCAATTATATAAGGACACATTTGTTGTGGTCTTTTATTATTTTGTGTGAAGAAAAGGCAAAACACACACAAACACATAGATTTTCTAAATTATTAAATCTGAGCACAGAGGAGCCATCTGCTCCTTCTTTCACTCTCTCCTTACCCTCTGTAGAATGGGAACCTGCACAATGTCATTACAAAACATCCAAAAACTTATTTCGCACTGTACGCATCAATTTAAGTTTGGTTCTCATGGTTCTTTTGTTGTTCATCACATGTATTAGCTTTACAGCTTTGATTATAATAAGTTCAAGGTAAAAATTAACTGAGGATATCAGTTAAACTAAAAGTAATACACACCAATGAGCACATTGAAAGGAGGAAGATGTGGAAATCTCACATCTTAAATAAACCGCAGAATTGAAAGGGTGTGTTAGAGTGTGATGTGTGTAGCCTATATGAAATTGCAGTTGAAGATGCCTGCCTGCGATGCTTCATATGTTATCTGTTTGGAGTTGAGATACACAATATACTGTATGTAGTGACTATTTACCCTAATCTATACTTAAGCCACTGTGTTGCTTTTAAAACCCTGATAATGTCCCTGGTCAATATTAACCCAACAGTACCAATGGTCCAAGCAGTGATACAAACAAACAATTTGCATGGCACATTATTAATATAAGGTTATTGATGCATACTTATGAGATACAATTAATAAAAGTAACTACATGAAGTCATTGACAATGTTGAGAAAAGGTAACAAACCAGGTTCTCTGAGGAGAGAAGTAGCAATGTCCAGCCTCAGCTCGTGCACTGCCTTCTGTGAGCTTTCAAACTCAATTGCCTCCCCCAGTAAAATGTTCTCTGCAAACTGAAGAGAACCTTGATTAGTATATGGACTGCATGGTCTATGATTTTACCCTCAAATGGAATACAGACAAATGACCCAACAGATTTAAAGAATGACATGTTGTATATGTGTAGTTTGACACAATTCAATACATCTTTGATCAAGATGTATAAAAGCAAGTCAAGATATTCAGTCTAATTGCTACTGAATTTGAGTTTGAGAGTAATGTTTGGCTAAATGCATTTCACACTCACTTTTAAGTCTTGTTGGCGATTATGGGGGAGGGTGCTGCATGTCCACCTTGACACCTTGCAGCCTTTCATCCTCATAAAGGCTCTACAGTATGTAGATAGTACATGTGTCAAGATGCAGCACATCATTGTCAAAAAACTCATACAACACCGGAACTAGTACACTGTATCAAATGTACCTTGTAGACTGTAGGCACACCTTCATTTTGCCTTTCCCTTCTCCAAGTGGATCCAAGAAGAGGGTTTTCTTCTCATGGGGGTACATTACCTTTTATTATTCACATGGAAACACAACATGCATTAGGCAGGAACCATACATTAGGCAGGTACGATGTAGGGTATTGTTTAGATGTTATCAATAATAAGTGACAGCATGTATGTGTGGCCTGGTTATCTTGCAAATCACTAATTATATATGGTGTATACAGCACTATAGATACAGATTGGAGCTTAAAATATGCTCCTATTCTCACCACCAACATCCAGTGATGGTTCTCGTTCACAATTCCCACGATGACTGTGTGTGCCATTGGATCAACCTGAGAGTAGTTGCAAAAGTATTACATTCCTGTTGAAAAATGCACATTTGCAACATTTACAAATGCAAAGTCATTCCAATCATGTACATACCCGGATTCTTCCAAATTTGTGTTTCCAGATGGCGGTCATAGCGTAGCTGTCAATAACAGCTGCTTGACCGTCATTGCGCTGGTTGAATTTTCTTACAATGAGTGTAAGGTAGGCATTGATCACCTTTGAGAAAAATGATCACAATGTATTAAAAAGAGGCATGTTTACTGTAATACTATCAACTACATTGTTGTAACGTCACTGAATTAATAAATGGAGCAAGTTTCATGAATGTCACACTTTAATTTTGTAAGATAGCAAGGGGGGGCATATTGTGATGGACAGGCCTGTCATAAAATGCCCCCCCCCCCCCCCCCCCCCCCCCCCAAAAAAAAGAGGTTTCTATGAATCCCAACCTCAAGCATTTTTCAGGGTATGGTTCTAGGACTGGTACCAATAAATGGAGCAAGTTTCATGAATGTCACACTTTTATTTTGTACGCATAGCATATATAATAATATGCTGACAAAGACTATGTAACATTTGTAAACATATATTTTGATTATTAGATGACAACTATGTAAAATTAAACAATACATTTTAAAGCACGTTTAACAGGACGTAACAATAATGATAAAAAAAAAGATAAACTGAAAAGGAAGTGACGAATGAATTTCGACACCTCAAATACGGAGCGAAAAGTTAAACCAGAAGAATCAAGACTATGAGCTACCACTAAACAACTCACAGTCTGAAAATTACCATTAATAAAAACCCTGAACGTTTACTTTTCGTTTTAAACATCGTTTTAAGGTGTAAACCTATGGTGTAAACGTGTCATTTAGAGGTGTAAACGTGTCATTTAGACACGCGTTCCCGTGACAAGGGGGGCATTTCATGACGGGGAGGCATAATGTGACACAACACCGGCTCCCGTCGTTCACTTAAAAGAGCCGGCTCTTTAAGGCTGATGCTCACCAGATGGTCGACCACCTCTGCCTCTCGCCTCTGCTGGGGCCAGTTATTTTCTGAGGCACAACAAATGCAGGACGAAAAAGACAATGACAGCATGAAGTAATTGCGCATAAGAAAACAATGCAATACAGTTATTGGTATTTGTTTCAGTAAACATATTTATTTCAGATACTTATAGTTAACGTTTTTACGCTCTAATGGCTCCGACTAGAATGACAAATAGCGTTAGTTCCGCCTATTCCGTCAGCCAATAAATCGTTTAATCATAAACTTTTCTTTTTTTTCAGGGGGTCCAAAGTCAGTGTTAGGGGGGCACTTAATAATAACTGGAGTTCAAATAACAAACTGGAACTTTTAATTAATGAGGAAACAGCAGGCCAGTGACTATTTCAACTATCTATTTTACTCAGGAAAAGACTGTAAATATATGGATTTATTTGTGTTGATAGCCATTTTCGTTGGAACGGACTGTTCTTAATCCTAGAGATATAGGTTTCGAATTGGAAACATACAGGTCTTAAATAAAGCAAAACAACTCTTACTGCGCAATTCTCGTTTTATCAGCTGCGTTGCAATAAGCAGCCAAAACATTTGACGTTCTTATTATACATCCATGCATTTGACACAGTTCTGGCCTCGAAATTGACCGAACAACATTTAACCAATCACATCAGTTGTCATTTATGTTGACAACCAATCATGATATGACTTTTGGTAAGGTGGGCGTATTCATAAGCCTAGTATATATAAGCGAAAAGGGGCAGGGTTACAATACAGTAGGTTCCGCTGTTTTCGAGAGAGTAGATGTGTTTTTGAGGTATTAAACGATTTAGAGAACTCTTGAGCCGTTTCGGTCAATTATACGCTTAGGTAGCTCGTTAGTTGCCTCTCTTCTGATCGAGTCGCTTAGAAAAAAGCGACTTGATTTAGCTAATAATCGCCTTTTAGTAAATTCAGGTCGAAAGGGATGCCGCTGCAGACAGACTCCGACGGACGCAAGCAGTCTTTGGATTTAATCTCATCGCATTTAATCGGGAAGAGCAGTTTTTCTATAAATTGTAAAAGCCTCAGTATAACACATCCTCGACCTAGTGCTATTGAAAGATGCTTAAGCTCGAGTGCGAATTAATAGCTTTTCTTTGAAGTAAAGAGAGAAGCGTCAATAATCAGCAAGCTAAACGCTAGCTATCGTAGCTGGTCATCAACAAAGCGGGGATCGTTAATCTCTTGCCGTAAGGAGTAACCAGATAGGCGAAGAAGAAGAGTGTCTACGGCTTGCCAATTGAACACGTTATTTTCTGCCTGTGCTGAAAATATTGCTCGGTAAGTGAATTGTGTTTTAACATCGATGTACAGAACCAGGAAGACGATTAGTCAACTTCGACTGAACGGGGTGGGGGAGGGGCGGTGTACAGCAAGAGGAAATTGTTTTTATGGTAAAGGGCTAAATCGACCATCGCGGGGCGCTGTAGCCCCCCTGTGAATGTTATTATTTACCGACTCCATTTATTTGGTATTAAACGGAAAGCAGTAACAACTGTATCGTTACAAATTGTATGTAACTACGTCACAATAGTAAGCAGCTTGTTCGTGTAATACATTGAGTGAACGTCTATGTAACGCTAGTTTTCTTAAGTGTTACAACATTTAACTTTATTCTTCTTTTGTAACCAGACCACAATGAAGCTGTTGGAAAGCTCCAGCTTTGAAGCCCTTAGCTCCCGACTGTGTGTTGAAACCGGAGAGTCTCGCATCCTTGGCAGGTAAAGGCACCATGAACAACTGAACACAATACTGTAATATAAGCTAGTTTAACATTTTACTGCAACATACTTTTATATCTGGGACTATAGTTGTTATTAGCTGTTATTATTGTGTTTTGCACAGACTTAACACACACACATTAGTCCCAGGGAGATGTATGGCTGGGTGATGTGAAGAAAAATAGTTTTATATATAAAGGCCAATAATAGAACAGTATGTTTAGAAAAGCACCTCACTCTACTGTAATTAAGCCTGTAGAAGACAACACAGTGCTATGCCCAGGTCACCTGTTTCTGCAGGAACAGTCAGACTTTAGAGGGAGAAACACTGGAGCCCTTTCCTGGTATCAGGTCATTAAACATGCATGAGAGGTGTGGCTGGTTTATAGATCACTGACTGCTCATAAACGGGGGTAGTAGGGCAAACAAGTTCCTGCATGCAATGTACAATTGTGATAACAGTAGTCTGTTACCTTAGAGCTCATACTGAAAGTGAAACTGACAGTGCATGTTTTTAAATGACCAAACCTAGGTTATGTAAGGCCGTCAGCTCAGCAGGCTTACAGTGACAGTGTACTTGCATAAAGGGCGGTGGGCTGTGGAGTTATGCAGTTACCCAGTCTGAGTGTGGGTGCTGAATCTGAGCTTTTGTACTGGTTGTGACCTGGGGTGACGGCACATCCCGTCCTTTCACACCACTCTGTGGCTATTTTAGAGACAGAGTGAAGAGTGTTATTAGAGAGTAGGTACATGTACACACAACATATATAATAATACTGCATGATGGCTGCTGGAGCTGCCAAGGCTTAGGGGATTAGTGAGACAGCAGCAGGGCATCCACGCTGCAGGTTTTAACAACACATGTAGCCACAGATGTACTGTTTATATTCTACATATGAGCCTATGATTCAAACACACGTTAAAACTCAGCAATATTGCACTATCATTTACTAAATGCATAAAACTAAACTTAAAGAGCACAGCTGGGGCCTTCTGTACATGTCATTTGATTTGTGCAAAAAAAGATTAATAATAAACGGTGCAAAAATACATTAAAACATAAATGAATATGTTTGTAGCTATTGTAAGAGTTGTGTACAGATGTTAAAAGAGCTTGTTGCCATCACATCTTTTTTTAAATAACCTTCATCGTGTTGATAGTCCTCACTCGGCTCTAGTTTCTGCTCTGTCATCTGGTTACAGTGTTTAGTCGGCAGGTCAGCTGTGTTCCGTATGTGTGTGGAAAAACCAGGGCACTTATTTCCACTGTGGTGTCGCTGCCAGCCGGCGTCCTATTATTAGACTGGTAAGGGTCTCAGTAGTGCGTCTATCTTAAGTTGCGCAACCTTTGCTCTTGTGTAACCCATAGGTGGGGGAAGGCAAAATAAACAACTCCAGTCTGCTTCACTCACAGTGACACAGTGTACAGTGGCGTCTGACCCAGAGTCATGAAGGAGCAGGCAGGAAACCTTTAGCTCTTGTCAGCTGTTTCTGCAGATATGGCTCCAGGGGGAAAGACAAGGGCAATCTATTCTAACTGAAAATTGGGTTATAGAGATCTTGCATTCCACTTAATCCATTTAACAGTTCAAATATCAGAAATGCCACTAGTTTGTTCCCCCAAATAAGAGATTACTAAAAGTGATAAAGCCAGTTAAAAAAACACAGAAATAACAACATTTAGTCTGCTAGTTTTCTATTCTATAATATAATGTCCTACATTATTTATTTGGTTACTGGTGAGGTACATTTGGTGCATTAATACCCTGATTTGCTCCTGTTGTGTAATTGTGTGTTTAAGCCTAATGGGCTATTAAAGTAATCTTAGGGGATTTTGCAAACACTTTCACTTCTGTAATCCCTTCCATTATGTTTACAGCACAAGGGCAATCTATTCTAACTGATACACAACATTACATTATGTATATGTCTGCCCTGCAGGATGGAGAGCTACTCCTGTAAGATGGCAGGGGATGACAAACATATGTTCAAGCAGTTCTGCCAGGAGGGCGAGCCTCATGTGCTGGAGGCTCTCTCCCCCCCCCCAGTCCACCAGCGCCACCAGCCCTTCACAGTGAGTACTACAATAGAGGATAATGCCGTGTTTCTGAACAGAAGACCACCAGCCGTTAGTGAGATGAGATAGTAGGGATTTGACCTTTTTTTTTTTTAAATGTACCTCTGTATATTTCCCGTGCAGGCTGGGGAAGAGCAGTGAAGACGGGGAGAACCCGCTCAGTGACAAGTGTTGCAGGAAGACTCTTTTCTACCTCATCACCACGCTCAACGAGTCCTTCCGGCCCGACTACGACTTCAGCGCCGCCAAGGCCGAAGAGTTCAGCCGAGAGCCCAGCATCAACTGGGTCAGCATCCTGCTCTGAATACATGTCACAGATACGTTGAACTCAACACCAAGACAAAAACATAACTGTCCGACCTTTCTTCAGGTGGTGAATGCCGTGAACAGCAGCTTGTTCTCAGCTGTTGGAGAGGAGTTTAACTCTCTGGGGCCGGAGCTGTGGAACGCCATCGACCAGGAGATCAACCTGCAGGGCTGTGACTTCTACAGGTGTGTGTGTTACATGCATTATTATATAGCAGATCATCTGTTCCGTGTGGATGTTTTTCTAAGCTCTTATTGTGTCTCCTTAGCTACAACCCTGATCTGGACTCTGATCCTTTTGGTGAAGAGGGGAGCCTCTGGTCCTTCAACTACTTCTTCTATAACAAGAAACTCAAGAGGATTGTGTTTCTCACATGTCGCTCCGTCAGGTCAGCACCTGAGGCATCATCCTCTTGGTTTAAATAAATCCGTTTCTGAAAGACGGCAGATCATTTAGCATACATGGGATGGTGTACAATTCTTTTTCATACCTGCAGTGTCTTGAGTGGCTATGGCCGGGACTCACATGACAACGAGCTGGACATGGAGCTGGATGACGAGGAGGAAATGGATGGCTTCACTTTGGACAGGTGAGACAAAGTCCATTATTCTGATTTACAATATTGACTTGAAAATATGCCGGTGTAAAGCACTGAAACATACCTTTTGTTCTATGATGGAAGAACATGTGAATTAGCTTATTTTGCATTAACATTGTTCTCTTCTTCTCCCAGGTTCCCCAGAGTTCTGTGCGTGTGATTCTGCCTGCAGGACACGCCTCGGCCAAACAATATCTTGACTTTTCCTCCTCCCTCCATTTTCGCCCTCATGTTCCCTTTTATTTTTGTATTTAGCGGCCTCATTCAAAGCCATTTTCACGCTTTAGACAAATGCATGTTTGAAGCCTTCTCTGTGTACCGTGAGACGGTGGACATTTATTTAAACCCTGCGGTAACTTTAAGGCTCCTCTTTCTCCTGTATGAAGGCACACAGACTCATTTACAGGCTTCTCTGCACCGGCAACATTTCCAAAAAGAAAGAAGAAGGTGTTGTAATGGATAAACAACAAAGACTGTAGGGGTGTTTCTTGCAAATGATGTCACAAAGAGGAGTCCAGAAAACACCAGCATCATAAAAAGACATTTGATGATATTCCTACATTGGAAGGGGCTGGGCTGAAAGACCCAGTAGAGACTGGTTTCCTGTTCAGAGGAGAATTGTTTCGTTGTTGCCAGTTTTTGTGTGACAGTGATCTTACTGTGACAACCTTTTCAGCACTGAGTTTGACATTTAAAATCATCGCTGCATTTCTAACTGAAACTTGTATTGTTGAATGTTATTACTGCGAACGCTCGTCTGTAGGGAACTCTTGGCATCTCGGTTGCAGCTTAGACAACATGTCAGCGTTTAACAAATGTCCCATAGTTTTTGCTTCAATCCCCATTTACAAAGTTCCATTTTATATGTAGTTGATTTTCCAATCCAGTATTTTTTCACTCTTCCTCTTTACTGATTTATTCCTATTTAACCCGTTTCTAAACGTCTATCTTGCCAGTTTTTTCTTTGCTCTGACCTCAGTGTAAAGGCTTCATTGAATGAATGTATAGTACCATTTAGAGAAAAAACATAACTGTAAAATTGCTATGTTGTACATTGTTTTATAGAAATCGAGAAGCTCCTTTTACTTTCCTTACAAGTGGTTAGGAGTTGTCTTTTCTTGACTTCTCTGTGCTTCATTTGATTGGCCAATATATTACAGATGTTAATAAAACGTTGTTTGAATCAAACTCAGAAGTATCCTGGTTTGGCATTTATTTCCCAAAGATTTTAGTCCAAGGTTGATTTCAGACATGCTAAAAAGAAACTGATGTGTTCTGGCTCAAAGTTCAAAACAAACTTTTATTGAAAAATAAAAACTGAATTCCAGTACATGACCGGGACTGGACCACCATACTGATAGTATAAGATCAGTTCCCTTGCTTTGTAATCAAGGTAAAAGCTGTAGACCTCAATGCTGCACCCTTTTTCCTCTTTGTGTTAAAATACCTTGCCCCACAACAAATACACTGTAGAGACCCTGAGGCCCTCCCTGACCAAGATGGACACCAGTTCTTCACCACAGTTGGGATTCAAACTCAATGAAACTCATGCACCTCACACTTTTTGGCCACTGTGGAACTTGCAAAAGGTAGACATGGTTTCAAAGTGACGCGTGCATAGATCTGTTACCAAGGAATTCTTATACCAGGTCAAAGAAGGAAATAAGGGTAAAAATCATGGGCAGACTTTTCAGATTCATACACATACTATCCTCCAGACACTCACAATAGCATGGTTAAGGCTGAGGATCAAGTAATAGACCTAAATGATGGCCAAAATATTAAGATAAAATGATCTTAATGCTACTTAGTCCAGATGGCTGCAGAGAATCAACTTCCCCATAAATGTGTGGCACATCGATGAGGCTGGCTAATTCTGGCGGCTTTGTTTAAAAAGTACAAAATGTTTAAAAGTGGAATATATTCTGCAGGAAATGACTGAAATGTTTGTATGACAATGTCAAACACACTTGCAGCACCAAAGATCATCTGTTAATACAGATGCTCACTCGCCACGAGAAAACATTCTTAAAAAGAATACAATTAAATAAAAAACATAATGCATCATTGACAAAACATAGTGTTTACATTTAAAATACTGCCATTAAAAAGGGAGCATTGTACCTGCATATGAATTCCATTTATTTAATTCTTTGCAAAATTAAATAAATGGCTAAAGTGAGGGTCAGAAAAGGTTGAATCTACACCATGTGGCTCAAATACATACAAGTACAAGCTCAGAGTTAATAAAGGGAGATTTGTATTTGACCACGTTTCAATACGGCACCGTAAGACCTAGAGAGAGAATAACCACCGACAATGTAGCTTATGAAACTGAAATGTGTAACAGATATTAATGGCTGTGCTAAAAATGAAAACATTATTCTGAAACACCTCCGTAGCGCCACCATTCCCCCTGAAAATGTTACAATACTGCTTGTAATCCCATTGTCTAGTCCATTTGTACCTGAACATGAACAAACTTGTATAGAGGCAAAAAAAAACGATATTAATAATAGAGCTTGATGGCTCATGATATGAAATGGTGCGAGGTGACATGATATGTATTTAGTGTGAAGGATGTCCAGTGCACACCTGCTTTGCACTTGGACATACTCTTAACTCATCTCAAGGATCTTCTTCCCCTCCTCTGCAGAAAAAGCCACTGTTTGTTCCAGATAACCAGCGAGGTTCCCCAGTTCAGGTCAGGTCACGTTTCGACTTGGAGAGACACCGGCTCCACTGTGCATGTGTTAATAACCCTCCGGAAGTCAATGTTTGTCATTAAAAAAATATAAAGCAACGATAAGCAAGTGAGGAGAAGCTGACGTAGCCAGGTCATCAGGCCGTAGAGGGGGCGAGGGGCTATCTGAGGCCGGCCCGCGAGGTCATCCACTCCAGGCCTTGGCATAAACTGGAGGAACAAAAAGAGGCGTCAGAAAGGAGGAACAAATTCTTTAGACAGAAGACTACATCAAGGATGTTTTAATAGCGTAGCACATTTCCCCTAGCTGCACTAAATATTTACACAAAACACATGGACGGATATATTTACTGTTCTTCCCGTCTGTGCTGAGGAAACATGTCAAGCTTCAGGGTACAGTGACATCTGGTGGTTAACAGAGCTCACTGCAGCGCTACAACATCGGTTACAAACACCTGGTTACAATCTCAAATATGTGAATTAAAAGTGTTATTTATTAAATGTATTATTGTTTTGTGCTCAACTGGAAAATGCTCACATTGTTGTAAAATGTTCTGTAGTAAATAAATAAGCACATGCCAGTCTAATCACATGGTAGACATGCTACAGCTTACATGAATTGCACTGCAATATGTTGCGGTTTAAGAAAGACATTCATTAAAATACCATTATGATAATGCTTGGTAACAGACTGAGATCATTCTCTATGTATGGTGAACATTCCCCTTTCTTCTTATCCTACTCATGTACACAAACAGTGTATTTAAAACAATTTTGCCTCTGTATACTCAAAACTAATCCAAGTTTGCACACAAGAGAATAACTTCCTAAACTGCTGTCACATTAAAATGTGACAACACGTCTTTTCATCAATGTTGCATTGCGTTAAGTTGTTTTATCCTTTATATGATACATGGTATTGATTATATAAGCTCAGCCAGCTATCCTGCTAACACACAGATATGATAAACATGAGTCTCACCCCTCTCCTGTAAGTGCGCAGCAGGACTGTATGTGCCAGGGGTGATCTTTGATGGAGCTCAGGCTGAGGTATTTGGAGATCTCCGCTGCAGACATACAGCCCTTCATATCCTGCTTATTGGCAAATATCAGCACGGCTGCTTTCCTCAGGTCCTGAGGGGAGAACACGAAACAATGAAACCATAAACATGCCACCTTTTGAAGCTCTAAACAATGAAATGGGGAAGGGGCTGTGCTTGGTGGAAACCCGCAGTCTTCTTTATGGCCATACAAAGACGTGTTAAGATGTTTTACCTCGTGAGCCAACATCCTGTAGAGCTCCTCTTTAGAGATGGCCAGCCTCTCTCTGTCGGTGCTGTCCACCACCAGAATGATGAACTGCAGAGTAGGAGGCAAACATCACACTTCTCAAAAACACATTTACAGAAATCAAGTGCAACACAGCAGGAGGGCACTTCCGGGGCCAAGGGCCTCACAGTGGGTTCTGGTGACTGCTGTTTTGAATGAGAGAGGGTGACCCTGTCTGACATGTTAATGTTGCCGAGATGTGAGAGGCGCCATTAAAAGGAAAAAGCTTCAGCAACACGCGTTCTCTAACATGACTGTGACCCACGTCACAGCCGGGGATCTACATGAGTGTGACACCGCTTCACTGTGGAGTGAAAGACTGCAGTTACCATAGTTACTCTAGGGTTAGTACATTATATGGCTTCTTTAGTAACTGTAAGGCTCCTAGCAACTCTATTGTAAAAGGTATTTAGAGCTACTCTGCCATTAAGATTCTTAAGTGCAAACATTGGTGGGTTTTTAGTTTACTATTGTAATAAGTCTACATTCACTTTTTATAAGATGGTAAAGTTATCTGGTTTGTCAAACCTCTATTGGGGGAAAAAGGATGGAAATGTTTGAACAACCACAACAGGCTGCTCAGTCTGCTGTCGAACAGGTTTGAGCTTTTTAGCAGAGACATGTTAGAGAGCAAGAGTGGAGGAGTTTCGCACGTGAGATAAGGCGTTTGCTTTTGCCTCGAACAGTGAATGGAAATGAAAAGAAGGGTTGAACGCAGGCTGGATATCGCACGTCCTAGAGGAAAGTTAGATTCTGTAAGTCACATCTGCCTCCGCCATGCCTCTCCCGTTCTTCTTCTCCTTTCTCCAAAACACTGCAGAGGCTGACCCCTGCTTTGACGTTCAGACGGCCCCCTTTGTGAAGGCTGACCCCTGACATTGGGCGGTCCCCGCTGCCGTCTGTGCTCTGAACAAACACACCAGCTGGACAATACTTCTGTTCCCCTCATGGGATAGAAATAGTTCAGAGTGTACGACATGAGTTGCTTGTTTTTCTCACCTCTGTATTGGAGTAGTAGGTGTTCCAGGAGGACCTGAGGGACTCCTGTCCTCCTATATCCCACATCAGAAAGTGAGTGTTCTTCACCACTATCTCCTCCACATTGCTCCCGATGGTGGGTGACGTGTGCACGACCTCATTCATCAAACTTTGGAAGGAAAGAATCAGTTAGTTTTTGCTGGCAAAGGAAAACTGACCAAAAAAGGTTCCAACTGTACATTTTTTAAACAAAATGACTTACAACTGGTAGAGGATGGTGGTTTTTCCTGCGTTATCCAATCCAACAATTATAACCTTGTGCTCTGCAAAAAGAAATACAGTATTCCATAAACTTCAAGAGGACATTGTTATCAAGAAAACACTAGTGCCATAAAGTACATCGTGTCCCTGTCTATACAATGCATTACTTCTTTGCTGCCTATTCAAAAATAATACGTTTATTCTAAAACTTCATGACCTCTTTCCCCGCAGCGGCGCTCAAACTGCAGGACTTCTTTCCATTCATAAAAACCAGCTAGCACAGTTCGTAACAGCACAGGCACTGTAGGCCATGAAGCAGACTAAATCCCAAATCAGAGCTGACACGGAAATGCCAACATATCCCACTTTAGTGTTTTGACTCGTCCGCCCTCCTGAGGCCTCTGGCAGCGGAGGAGGAAGGAACTCTGGTCAGAGGGCTCCAGTCCGGACAGATTCTGAGCACCAAACTCGTTTCGGGGGGGTCACTGCATGTCTATTGCTTCCCTGTGAGGATCCCCGTTACATTGATCACATCGGAGTACTCTCCTTTTCAACAACTCCTAACAGTGTGTTCTACGAGCTGAAACATGTTCCTGCAGCACATCTCTAACCCCAGGTTGGGTCCTTCCTTCTAAATGTATAATGTCAGTGCGAACAAACTAGATGTCGATTTTAGAAGTCAATAATTGATTCGAGTGGATTATTTGAAAACAGCTTTCCAAGCAGAACACTTACAGGTTACTAATTCCTTAAGGATGCATGTGTTTCTCCTGTATGTACCTTTAAGTGGTGAAACTGCACCTCAGGAGTAATAGCTAGACTTCCTTTAGAACACAGCAGCAAACATTTTCAGAAAAGAATAAAACATAAAGACACATCTATAGTGATATTTCACAATTGCCAGCACTAGTTTTTA